TTTTGGGTCCAAATTAAGTACCTCTCATCTGCTCATGCTTGCCACTCACCCAACATTTTATGACAAAAAACCATTCTTGTTTTCGTCAACCTGTTTTTTATCCACCAACTCCTCCATCTTTCCTCACTCTCGCGCCTTTTCCCTTTTTCCATTCCCTCTCACCACGTGGCGTGATAGTTTTGGAAACCAACCCAGTCAGGAAGAAAACGATGAAAGCAAGCAGGAAATAACAAGAGCAACTTATGTTGACACGGAGTCTGACACTACAACGGTTGAGAAGCTTTGTGAATGGGTTTTAATGGTTTGCAAAAAAAGCTTTTTGTGTAGTCTGCTATACTTACACCCTTTACCAACAAAATCACGCCATTTGGCTGGCATTAGGACAACGTCTGTTGTGTCAAACTCCTTGCCTTCATCTTCCATCCGGCTGTCGCGCACATCCTTGGCATCGGCGAGGTTCTCTAGGGTGCCAAGTACGTAGCGCGATTCCATCTCCTCCCTCAAGCCTGCATCGTCACCCACAGCTTGGCCGATAAGGTCGGAGGGCAAACTGAACGCAAGAAGGAGGAGTTTGATTAGAATGAGAAGTGAGCGCATCATGAGGAAACCAGCAACTGCTTCCTATTTCCAGGCCTACTGACGCACATCCGTTGAAACATTCTATATGTGCTATGTAGGATTTGTTTACCGTTTACTGCTTACTTTCAGACGCGGGCCGATGCACGGTATCAGCTACTTTACCGCCTACGTAGTCTTGAATTCATGACGCATTTTTATGCTGCATTTCCAGGCGAATAAACATCGAGTGGAAATAGTTGGCAATACAATTGTCCTGCCAGTGTTTGAGGTTACAGTCTGATAAGGTCAGAAATGAGAAGATCAAAACAGTCTCCGTCACTTAACATATCGGATTTTCCGAAGTGCTTAAATGCCTCCTTGTGGTTGCGGATAAAATATGCAGGCATTAATGAAGCCTCGATGAGGCGTTGCAAAACTGTAAAAGAACAAATTAAAGTGAGGCTTACATTCTCCACAGTGGTCCGACAAAACTAAACGCCGATGAAGCACTGCCTTATGGCCGATCGCTGTGTCATTCGACCTCTATTCGTGTGCATCCTTCCACATTTGCTGTTGGTGCTCCTTTCGGTGACTGCAAGGCCTCGGTCTGCTCAAGTTCCAAGAGACTTGGATTTGACGATGTTGGTCTCTGGTGCGCACATGCATTTAGGAATAAATCTGCGCTAGAATCGTGCATTAGCGCAGTTCTGCATCATTCCATGCGTAGGCCTTGAATGGTTTCTCTCTGTAGAATAAAATCGACAAATATACACTCCTTGGCGGTCCTTTTTGGGCATTTGTACTTAGATGCATGAGAAAGGCCATTCAAACAACAAAAAA